ATATATATATATACATACATACATACATGTATATTTTATACATACATTCACGAGAGTTAGTCTCTTGGGTCTATATATATATTTATGATTAAATGTGTATAATTTATTGCAGTAATTATTTTATAAACATATATATTTATATTTATGTAGTTGAGGTATAGAAGGACCTAACGTATTGGCGGTTAAATTGGAAAGTAGACAAATGTTATTGCTCAACAATAAATATATGTACAAACATGCAATGTAAGGAGATATATTATTTAGTCACAATACTAGGCCTATTACCATAATTTTTTCCAATGGTTACAATTATTGTATTCACGTGATTAAAGGCGACAACACTATGATTGTAATTCCAGAATTAAATATATAATTTTGAATTGGATAGTTTGATACAAGATAGGTTAGCTATACCGTACACACGACAATTAATCATTTTCAGAAGGGTGATTAATTGTAGCGTGAAGAGTATTATTATGATTTCGCATTCACACTTTCGTGAGATGCTATGAATATTCATTCATGTTCTGGAATTTTACCATTGGAGTTTACGCAATTATTTGCAATATCGACGACAAATTTACGTCGGACTCAATCATTTTAATTATCACGCTCTTTAACGTGTTTTAATACTTAATATTATTAGCCAATGATCCTTGGCAAGTAAAGTTCTACGCAAATTGAAAATACAAAATTCGCAATCACTCAGGCCTGTCTATCGTGGTTAGTGTTATATTTTATTGTATTTTTATGATGCTATATTTTATTCCTATATTTTAATGGCACATGTGTCGTGTTGTATTTAGACCTGTATATTGGCCAGAATTTTAATGGCACATGTGTTGTGTTGTATTTAGACCTGTGTATTGGCCAGAATTTTAAGCCAGACAAAACCGTCAGCAATAGCCATCGTAAAGCCCTGTGCCCTGTCAACACTATTACGCCATGTGACACGCCTATATACGGTCATGATGACATCACATCATCACCATATATAGGCACATCATGACTATATATGGGCATACAACATTTTTTGTCAAATAAAATTTGATAGTCTAGACTGGACAGGGCTTTATGATGGTTATTGTTGACGGTTTATCGACGGCGTTGACGATGGTATTGAACAAATGTCAATAGTTTTGGCAATGTTATTGACGAAGATATTGACGATGATACTGACAATGTTGTTCACGATGGTAGCAATGATGGTACTTGGCGACAGTACTGTATAACGATGGTACTGACGATATTATTTTCGTGATGGTGTTGACGAGGGCATTGATAGCCCTGCTGATGATGTATTGACTGTGGTATTGACGATGTTACTGTATTGGTAGCGATGTTATTGACGTGTTAAGCAAAACGAATTCGTCGACTGTAATGATATGTGTTGATCAAGGCATCTGGGAAGCAACGTCTCCGCACATCAGGTGAACGTTTTGACTGAGAGGTGGGGGGGGGGAGGCCGCCCGCGCCATAAATCCAATATTGTTAGATGTTATCATTAGTGTGTATGTTTATGTGCAAGTACTATCCAGTATAATCAATATCCTGCTTACACCAAACATACGGTAGGCCTAATACGTGAATCATTGAAAATCAATTCCGTAATCTTGAACTATTCAGTTGCGCTCCCTTCTAATATAATTGCATTTATTTAACGAATAACATGAGTTATTTTTTTTATTTTTGGTAGTCGTATAGTCGAAAATACTCGCTAGTTTTCAAATAAATTTTGTGCCATGTACCTGATACCCTTTTACTCGTTATTTAGTGTATGTAGACCTATATTTGCCTACAGCACTTGGGGGGGCTACCATTACTTGATATAGGCCTACATAACATATATTGTTATACTGGCCTATATGAATATAGGCATTGATATATTGACACATTCAAATCATACACGGTTGTCGTATTACAGAAACATACGTATTTTCAATTTGATGAAAGCCTGGCTTCCATAAAATTGTTACATGCTATCGCCGACAGCTCTTAGCGACGCTGATTGGTCGGTTGTGTCGAGGACAGCTATGAAAGCGAAGTAGCGGAGTGTCACTTTTGTAGAAACTTAAAATTAGAACTAGAAACTAATAATGTATAAAGAAAAGAGTATAAAAGAAAGTAAAAAAAATGAAAAGAAAGTAAAGTGAATGGAAGGAAAAGAAAGGAGAAAAGGAAAAAGAAACGAAAGAAAATGTATTAAACAAAATTAATGAAAAAAAAAGTCATGGAATCGGAAGATTGTTGACAAATCGAATAGAACAGAAAAGAAAATATATATATATATAGGCCTATAACCATTTGCTACGGTGACCGCAAGTGCTGAGTGATGAATAGATGCACACATTGTTGTTTAATTAACATAAGTAAAGATAAAGTACATTTAAGCATGGTATGAAGACAATAATATCGAATATACATTGCGCCTATGAGATGGCCAGATATTATTTTCAAATGGTGGCTAAATAAAATAATAATAATAATAATAATAATAATAATAATAATAATAATAATAATAATAATAATAATAATAATAATAATAATAATAATAGATAACGTGCTTATTTGGTAAATTTTTATTGAGCAACGATATGTTTTAATTGCATTTGTGAGGGCCTGTCTCTTATACACA